CCCGAATCACGAAAATGTGATTCGCGAATCCCGAATCACGAAACGCGAATCCCGAATCACGTTTTCCGGAGGCTTCTCCGGATCACCACTGCTTGGTGCCCTTCTCTTGACGAACATACACTTCCAAAACATTCCAAAACCACTGGGTTTGGTGGTCTGGTGCTTAAGTTCACTTCAGTGTCGGCAAACAAGTTTTGTTGAATGGCCGAGGACAATGAGGACAAGTGGCGCCAAGCGGGCAAACAGATTTACGGCTTTCTCCCACTCACCTGCAGCGCGCCGGCATCAATTTTGCCATATTTGGAACCGCGACACAAATCCCACACCCGTCACACCCCACCACCAAGCAGAAACTCCCTCAAATAGTCCCTCTAAAAGTTGTTTTTGACTTTCTCACTGTCTGTGACCGTAATTAGCCGCCAGCGTTGTGAAACCTAGCATGAAATTCGTGTGAAACACATCATCTCTGCTTCATGAAAAGGTCCCCGTGGTAATCGGGCGCCATCCGTTGCTCATGGAAAGCGCGGTCAGCTTGTAGCCACTGAAGCCACAGCTCAAGCTCAGGCACAGTATTCCATGGATCACCTGAGTGCGATTTGGTATGATCTTCTCTCTGAGATGAGCCTCCTTCTTCACCATGATCTGTAGCCACGCCAGCTCCGTAATTTTTGATCGTCTGTTTTCTATATACTGATCTGGTCGTCGAGATCGGCTGCACCCTTCCAGTCCTCGGCAGCTACTTTGATGTCGAGTTCTCTCAAAAGATCGAGCTTCTTCAGCTCAGTCTCAAAGCAGTTGGCTGCGTGATAATCCTTTCGGAAGATTGCACTCTGAAGATCTTGCTTTACGATGTCCTCCGTCCTTTCCTTCTGCAATCGCTTCGATTGCACTGCTGAGGACGCTCATAGCCACGCGGCCCTTTCTGCCAGGCATTCTTGGCGAATGGCGCAGTGCAGGCCCTCAAAAAGCAACAAATCTCAAAATCCTTCACACTACTTCACACCCATCCCAACCAGTTGCCATACCTGTCAGACCCTTCCCACCTCCCCCTTCACTCAGCTCTCCAACCCAGGCCTTCCTTCACCCAAAGATCCATCTCCGCGCTCCGCGCGCCCAGCCCGCCGCCCAGCCGCGCGCACAGCGCCACGGCGCTGCGGCTCGCGCCCCGCGCGGCGTGCAGCCGCAGCTCGTCGGAGACGCCGAGCGCGGCGGGCGCCGTGGGGCGCCCGTGCAGCGCCCCGAGGCGCAGGCCCGGAGTGCAGCTCGGCAGCCTGGGGTGCGAGCTGGAGCGGCATGGGGAGCGGCCGTTGAGGAAGAGTGGCGGCCGTTGAAAAGAGACAACCCAATGGCAAACAATGCAAAAGCTTTGAATGGAATCCCAAAGGGTTTAGGTGTTGTGGATGCAACTTGGAGGGTGGAAAATCGAGTGCAAATTCTTTTGGGGCTAATGCCGGACCACGCCCTGGGATCCTTCCGCTGCTGACCCGGGTTCCTAGTAGCCCGTTTTTCTGCCTAGTGTTCCGCCTGGGAACTTGAAGCCGTGTCAGGCGTTTGAGGGGGGGAACGACGCCATATCCACTTGGCCATACCAGGCCCTGAAAATGTACAGTAACATGTCTATAGGGTTGTTGGATGGGGGCGGCTGGTTGGTTCATTAAGGCTGTTTCGATGGCCCTGTTCGGTGTGCCTGAGATTGGAACAATCATGGTGTGCGGCTGCTGGTGTTTTCAGAGCGTTCATGGTCGCTGTAGTACTGCAGGTGTATTATCCCCTCCTGTGGATGGATTGCGAACACCTGCACAAAGTACACTTGAAGTTCTCGCTTAATCAAGCCCCAATCATCTTCACTGCGTTGATTCATCGATGCTGGTCTGCCCCAACCACATACAAAAAACCTCGGGTCACTTTGAAAACCGTCCATGATCGGGAAGCCCGGCTGCAGCCACAGCCCGGACTCAGTGTCTCTACACGTGATCCTCTGCCGGACTCGTTTTCTGCCACACGAAACTCGTGATCCTCTGCCGAAGGGACCACTCCTCAACGGCTTGGGGAAGAAACTCGGGCAACAAGAAGACGTCGCCTGGTGAAGTCGAGTCGTCGAGTCTCGGCTGGTGAAGTCGCTCCGGCGCCCCGGAGAAAGCTCTGTGAAGAGGTGGGGAGTCCAATCATGGGAGGGGTTCTTAATCAAGAGTACTATGCATTAAGGCATGCCTTGACCCGACAGCAATGTTTCAACAGTGCGGACTTTACATCACCCAAGCTGCCTACAAAGTTGCAAGACTCCGGATGGAACAGACCAATGCCGAAACCCACAGAAAGTGGTCGACATCTCTATCTCTTCCATCATCTTCCGTGATGTGCACTTTATATAGATCTCTCTTGAACCATGTGAAACCTTCCTGTGGCCATCCGTCTACATGTTTGGTCAGGTCAGCCTGCGCCGTGTCCAGTCAGGCTCCACTCCGTGTCACGGACCGTGCCCGTGGCCTTCCTCGTTGCAAACCACGCGAGGGGACGACATCTCCTCTTCCCTCGCGTCGGCCGGGGACCGCTCGGAGACCACGAAAGGAACCGCCGACAGAGTTAACCAGTGGGTCTCCCCACCGGTTGAACTACGAAATTCTGAACATCTGCAACGAAATGTAGAGAAAGCATGGAGAAAGCAAAAATCCTGACCATAAAAGTGACGAAAACAACATGAAATGTTCGACATGAATAGGTGTGTTGCATTGTTTTTCCAGCCAGGTGAACCGGTAAACTTGCAAAAGTGAAACGACAGGAAGCGAACCGCTTCACCATCATCCCTATGAGTCGACTCATTGATTAAATAGCCAAACCGCACCAGACATGGAGTGTAAGACCTTCATGGTCCCTGGGCCTGTCTGGGTTGTCCAAAAATATAGCCCCTCACAGGTTGGTTAAGGTGTCCATGAACCATGCCATGGCCAGGGAGCCCCGGTATGGGGGGGGGGTTGGAGAATCATCAAGAGGCAGTATGTTCTTTCTCCAGGTTCGACTCACCTGGACCTGACCCAGACACTGGGACTGAGAATTCTGTTGCACCGGCAGAAAGCACAACTTGTCTGTGTTTGCTTTTAGCTCCTAGTAGTTTTTTGTTCATATTACTAGTCATGCCCTTGTTGCTAGTAGATTCTTGTTACTAGATTCTCTTAAATGTATATAGAACAAATCTCTCTTTTGCCGTCACCCATGTGACCCATGAGCCAAGGAACGTCAAAGGAGGCCAGTATCCCTCAGCGTTGGCTCATGAAGAGGGAATTCTTGAAATCGTCAGCTTACAAAACAATGACATGAGAATTCAACAGAACCGCCTGCGTCCCCTTCTGTAAATTATCACCTTAAACTGCCTGTGTGCCTGTTGAATCACCTCTTCAAACCGATGTTTCCAATCACACAGCCTATCACAGGCGCCTCGAGTTTTGCCACGCGAACAACAATCCCCGGTACCAGCCAGGAGAATGACACCAAGTCAGGTAGCGTGTGGCCAGGGGCTACATACCCACTGCATCAATCAAGAAACTGCTGTGGAAATTCTGAAGGGAAAGTTCTGTGTCAGTAGTACACTCTTGTGACTTGATTGAGGGAAGTGCAGTGCTTCCAAAGCATGTCTTGTCCCGTCCTACATTTGTTTATTGAATAGCCTTCGACCGCAGCAGCCGACCGCACGCTACTGTGTTTTTTGCCAAGGCAACGTGGACTACATGGCCGAAAAGCAAACTACATTGCGCCATCAAGTCGAGGCTGTGCACAACAGCCAACCACTTGTATCCACTTGTCCATATCAACACTCCTTGGAACTAACATGGTTACGTGGCATGGCATGGCCCCGAAGACCAAACAGGAGGTGGACTCCACGTAATCAGGCCGTGAGTTCCAGGGAGATTCATTTGTTCCTCTTGACTTGACTGTTCATGTGGTTGATGTTCAAAACATTGAAAAAAAGGAGAGAAAACTGCTGGAAAACTGCTGGCAAAGTTGCAATACTCGCTTCAGCTGCTTCTCTCAAGCCTCTGCAGGGAGAAGAATGCGTTGATGGAAGGACATGGAAATGCATTTGCTGAGTTCCCCGGTAGTAGATTGAGTGACTCCAATGTGACATCCCCTAAGATCCAGCGCAAGCATCAACCATTCAGGACCAGATGACCACGTGCCGCATGGAAACTTGAAACCCCCTCATGGCAATTGTTGCTTCGACATCTGCGTCCGCGGTCAGATATCCCTGTAGATCATTGATATCATCTATACTACAACAACTAAAGAGATGAAATCCTGCAGAAGACCGTTCAAACATGGAGCATTCCCACTCGCTGACCAAGCAAAGGAGGCTGAGCAAACATCCCATGTCGGTGATGGTACCCTCGAGAGGAGCGTTCCCAGCCCTGACATGTTGGGTATTTGCTGGAAACCAAAAGAACCATAAACAGCTCTGGTTGGAACTCAATATGGCGCCAGAAACCTGTGTCTGGTTGGTTTCCGGGGGAGTCCAGGTTGGTCTCCGTTGTCCCGTCTTCCCTGGTCAATGTGTCTTCACCTGTAAATGACATGGCCCATCCCAAAGAATCCAAATGTCATGACGCCAGACGCGAACCCCCTCAACAAAGACTTGATTCAAGGCGCGTTTGTTTTTCCAATGGAAAAAACCCTATATCGGTCCAATTCTCTTTGAGTTTTGTTCTATCTTCTCCGACCTCGCTCCAGTCGCTGAGGAGAGTTCAGTGAGACGGGGTGGGGTGGGTGGGGTGCCAGCCAGTCGGGTCCAGTCATTCCGAACCTGAGGATGTAGCAGGGGTAAGCCCTTGTAGGTGGGTACAAGATTGCATACTTTTGCCTTTTGTTCTCATGAATCTCCAGTGCCAAACCTCCCTTTTCACCCCGAATTCATGCGACTCACGTGGACGATCGACCCCCCTTTTTGGCCCATCGACGATCGAGGCGCTCGACCCGCGGAACCTCGTAGCTCCTGCGGCTTCAGGACCCGCCACCCGCCACGGCGAACGCGGCCGGTGGCCGTGGTGGGGGACGGCGCACGCGGCGGCGTGCCTGGCGGTCGGTGGCGCAGTGGTGGGGGGAAGGAAAAGGGCCGACCGCCATGAGGCCGAGGTCCCTGGGAAAGTAAGTTTTAAAGTGAAATTGGTAAAATCATAGATGGAATTTAGGTTGCCATGTTGGTACAACCACAGCTGTTTTCTGTGAGTTTCCAGATGGCTCCTGCAAGTTTTGTTTCAGGCGGTGACCCGGTCTGGTCGCCGAGGGTTGAGGGTACCTGGAGACCTTTCATCTACGCTCCCTTTCTACCAGCTGGTTGATCAAGTGCCCTGCTCAGGTGTCCCATCACCTTCTGAGAGGGTATGTCATCAATGTGAATCCATAGGGATAGGGAAATAGGGAACCCCCCTGACCCAATGGGTTCTGGTCTATGTTCTGGCAGGTCTCACTTTTCTAGCCATTACACACCCATGTCATGTACTAAGCTAAGCGACTAAGTTCGGCCAATGTCTAGTGTTTGTTCGTTTTCAGGGACCTGCAAAAGGTTTACAGGTTGCGGGTGCCTTATGATTGCACTCAAATCCCGAGAACTAGTTTTGTCAACCTTCGGGGTTCTTGCAGAGTGATGACCACACGCTTCAGAGCTAGGTTCTCCTCCTCAGCCCAAAGACCACATCCGACCAGCTCTCCCACCTTTCCTCAAGCAGGCCACAAAGAAGCCCTCGCAATCCCATTCGTGGGGCCACAGTCGCAACACACGCGGAACACGCGGGCGCTCTCGCTCTCGGCTGTGTAGCCCCAGCCTGGCGGACCAGGCAGCCAGTCCGGTGGAACGTCACCCGCGTTCGCGGTCGAGGGCTACGGAGCTTCGGTGGAGTGCGGAGTCGCTCTGGTGGTTGGAGCAGATGAGGGTCATCTCGGTCATCTCTCAGATTCCATATAGTTCGTTTGGGGGGGAAGTTTTCGAGGGCCGGTTTGGGTTTTGCTGGGGTGTCTTTTCTTTTTTGGCTCTGATCATTCAGACGTGAAGGATGGTTAAGGGGTGGTGAATGGGTGTCCATGAGCCACCCAAAGAGGGGGCCCTGGTAGAAGTCTCAATCATTGCACGACTTGTTCTTTGTTCTATACCCCTTGGTGGCCTCTGTCTGTGAGACGCACGCCCAATTTTCCAGGAATTAGTCTTAGTGCATTCAATCTAACATGTCACAAGACTGTGTTCTTTTCTAGAAACTTGCTTTACGTTTGCCTGCTGGAATGATGTTGAAAAGGACTTCGCAGATAGACTCCCAAATTCCTTTCATTTGAATGGCATCCAGAAAGATGGTTTTTCTTGGGAAAACCTGGCGTTTTCCAGGTCCATGCGAGCTTTCCAGGGTGTACTGTATTTTGTAGAAGCCCCTTGCCTTCTGCTTTGAAGTTCTGAAGATAGACTCCACTTTCGAGCAAATCGCTTGGAACTGACCAGAAAGCAGGTCTTTCGAACTGACTGGTACTGGTAGGTTAAGGGAGTGTTGCACACCGAATGCACTCCGAAGAATGGATTCACCTCTGAAAAGGTCTCAAATACAACGGTGAGGGTGACATTTCCCGACGGTCAGAGGAAACCTCGAAATCCCACGTTCCCGGCGTTGGGTGGGTCATCGCGGAACGGCGAATCAAAGAGTCCGTGGCTGGTTGTTTTTGGGTTCTCAACTGGACAGTTGATGACAGTTGTATCCGCAGGATCCCTCCCATATACGTCAGGGTTTTTCTAGCTGATTTCGCACCACGTGATATCAATATGATTCATGATCACCTTCCTTCAGACTCCAAGCAGACACAACACGATACACTGCTTGGAATCTTAGCATGGTTAATGGCGATGGCATGGCCCCAGAAGGAAGACCCTTTCCGAATACCAAGCAGGGGGTGGACTCCACTTCCGTGTCACTTTCAGGGAGAGTATCAACACACAGATGGGTATAGACAACGATCGTACGATGTTCATCCCACCTGGATGGGATATCCATGAGCTCAGCTTCTGGCAGAACCGTCAGGACCTCCTCATTCTCCTCATTCGGCAGTCGCCGTTGCCGGGCTTCGATTTCTCTAAAGCACTACTGTCATCCAGGAGTCACATGTCGGGATGCCGAACTTGGAGGATAGGGATGCCCAGTACCTACTCACTGACGGGCCTAGAAACCTCCCAGCCTTGTGCTGGATGGATGGGATTTCTTGAAGGAACTTGTTGTCATTCCGCGAACGAACGACGATCAGTTCAGTCTTCGTTCGTCATAGTCGTGAACTCGCCAATCTTAAGTAGTGGGTCAATCGCCAGCGTGCCAGAGTACTAAAGTTAATCTTCGTAGTACTTGCGTGCCAGTATACTCTCTTAAGTAGTGGTTACCAGTGCCCCTCAAAACCATGAAAAACAAAGGTGTTCACATACAAAAACCATGTTTTTGTCCTAGGGAAAACTAGGTGTTTGATGGTTTGTGGTGCCCCATGGATAATCTTAATTTAAGTAGTGGTTCATCTCTTTCTTTTGCGTTTTGGTCGATCTCCTTCCGTTCCCCGTCACAGCAACTGGTCGTTCCCGTCTCCACACGTGACGGGATCGACCAGTCGTGGGCGGTGCCGACGGGGTGCGATGGATCGACTGGATCGCTCGGTGGCGTCCAAAAGGGTTCCACTGAAGAACTCCCAAACCAAAAAAAAACAGAAAAGACATATAGAAATTCTCAAGTGGAAGGAAGAGGAAAACTCTCAAGAGTTTTTGCTCGTCTTCCTCCTTTCATGGACTATATGGATCCTCAAATACATACCTGGTACTTAAAAGCATCGCGATATATGTACGGATGCCTACACGTTTGTGGCTGCCTCTGTCGCATAGGCCGTTGTCTCCCAGACATGCATGCGACATAGGCCGGGGTCTGCATTGGTGTTTTGATCATTCCTAGGACCCACTGTCGGGATGGTTAAGACACCCCGAATCACCTCTAAGGAGCTATCAAGTTCCACACCCCTTAGGCCGTAGGGTGTCCTGGTCTATCACCTCTTGACTCAGCCGCCAAGGTCCGAAACGCACACCTTCTGACTCAGGGGCCCGGGACTAGGGTTTTATGGATGGGAGCGATAGGACCAGTATCTATTGTGTTATACTTTTCGTGTCTGGGTACAGTACCAGAGGTCATTCCATGGTCATTCCGTTGCTTCATTGAAAAAGCCCCTGGTCTCGCGTGCGTGGGGCCCAAACCATGCCGCCGTGCCGCCTGCGCATTGAGCGTGCAGGTGGAATAGACCAAGAAGCCACCCGGGCCTCCGTTAGATGTGGAGCCGCGAAGTGCAGGCTGCTTGCAGCGCCGCATCGAGCGGTGGAAAGCAAGCTGGTCATGACTTGGATGCGTAGTTTCGGGGGAGTTGGCCATGGGGATTGGAAGCATTGCAAGTTGGAGTTGCTTTCCAGTGAGTGAGGATCTATATTTCTACCAACTGGCAGGAAGAGCTAAAAGGATCCATCCTAAATCCATCCAATCTGCTGGAAGGCACGGAATCTGTTCCACTTCAGCAGGACCAAATTTTGGATGTCATGATCTCATCAAATCTCCTGTCAAAACTGAACGTGTCCGGAACGAAAGGGACCTCCCACGATCCACCGATATCCACTTCACGCGTCGATGTGAAGCCACCCGGCCAAGTGAAGCCCTCCGGATCCAAACCGAGAATCCAGCTGAACCGAGCGGCGCAGCAGCTGCCAAGCCTTCAGCAGCAGCTTCTTCTGCAGCTGGGCATTCGCCTCCTTCAGCTGCAGGTAGTTGGGCGCTTGGAGGCGTGACAGCACCTGAAGGAGAAGATTCTCCCAAGGCCACTGACTGCGAAGGATCCAACATGCCCGCCCTCCCTCTAAAATGAGCTTTTGTGTGCAGCACCACAAGTCAGTATGGCTGTTGGTGCTGGCAGTGGAACCAGGACCATTGAAGTGAACAGAATGGAAGGGAACTCTCCAGTCAGGTTCTGATCCATGCCAGTGGACAGAGACTTGCTCAGATGCCATCACTTGCAGGATTGCAGAGTGAGCAAGGGCAAGGCTTGCAGCAGGTCAAATTCACCATGCTCTGCATCATCCAGTTTTCACCTACATGTAGCCTAGACCACATAAAAGTGATGGACAAAATCTCTGGCCACCGGCTTGCCGGCTTCAAGGGACCCTTTGGAGGATGGTCAGGGGAGATGGCCCCCCCGAACCTCTTTCTATTCTAAACCAACCACCAGGGCCGACCCCAAACCATGTATGTTGTCCAATCCTCATGTGTCTGTTGGTCATATAAACAGTTGGACTCTTTGGTTGGTCAAAATGCTGCTTGGACTCTTGGGTTGTGGACCAGCCGCCAGAAAATGATACGTTCCCAAATCCAATCATGAACATCTCTCACTCACAGGCCAGCATGAATTTGATCTCTGGCTTTTAAGATGTATACCTCTTATGTATACTGTGTATACTGTATATACTACTCTTAGTATTATCCAAAATCGATCCTCTCCCCAGTCCTACGTGAGTCAGTCCCCCTCTCCCCAGTCATGTTTTTCGGCGGCACCATGCCTCAGGAATGCGCCGCAGGTTCCCTTCCGCGCTGCAGGGCGCATCCAGCAGGATGGCTTCAAAGCAGCCCGCGGTGCTCGCCCGCGGGAGCTGACTGCCGTCCTCCTGAGACGGACACCACGAAGGTCACGAAGGTCAGAGAGTTCGAGTGATGACGAAGGTCACTGAGTGAAGAATCAGATCGAATGCTCAGACGAAACGAGATCGAATCCCTGAAGAATGGTGTGCTTCTTGGAGAGTTCGATGGCCTGAGGGTACTGCGCAAGGCTGTTTGTGTTGTCCAAACAGAGACTAATTCAGGGTGTGTCCAAACCAAGTGGGATGTGAAGCGCCAACGATTCGTGGTGTTCACAGCAATGGATCAATCATTGGATAAATCTTGATTTATGCTTGCACAGGCAAAAGAAGAACCTAGATCATTCCTATATCCTCCTGATCATACTGACTAGTCTGATGAGCCGACACTCCACCAGCTGATTGGGTTGGTCTCTTCCTCCGAACCCGTTGGAAAGGGCCGAATCATGTGGATTGTAGTCCTCAAACAGGGCACCAGCCCAGCGACGTTTGGAGAAGAAATCGGATGCAAGATGTAAAAAGAACTCTGAGCAATGCGGACGTATGTGTCTTTTTTCCAGCATCTTGGAAGGTACTTGGGGAGCATGCAAATCTCTAGCAAACCTAGGTGTTTTATGGCAAAGAAGGCTACGTAGTACAACACATCTCAGATTATCCAAACATGTTTGTTTGCTTCGGAAAGAGAAACGACAACACACTAAAAACTGGTATGATGCATGTGTAGGTCCGGTGGATGGACGTTCCATTTCTGCAGTGTCCATTCTGAGTTGTCCTCCAACACTCCATAGGACTGCCATATTTGCCGATCAATTGAGGTGGTTTGGGGGTCCATGCAGGCATTCATATTATGGCATCTTAACATACATGGAGTCGTGTCTTCTTTTTGTCTGATCCGCTCAATTTCTCCGAAGAACTGCACATCCCGGTGCACGAAAATTCCCTATATCAAGTGTCAACCCCATCTGAAAAGCTCCTTCTTTGCTGAGATGAATCATCTCCCAATGAGTATACGGCTGCCAAATGACTTCTCAGCTGCCTTCAGCCTGCAGAACACGTTCTTTCTCCCTCCTTTGGGGGGAAACCTCCTGTCTGATCCGTCCAAGCCGCTTGCAAGATCAAGCATCGCTCCGCAACGCCTCCGGTCCGCGAGGCGAGGTCACTCCTCTACTGGGTCGACCTGCTGCCCCCCTTGGTTGGAACAAAGAGTAGGTCATGCCCCCTCTGCGGAGTGTGTTGGCACTGGAGGTTGGCACCATCTAGACGCTCTGTATATAAAAGGGTTTAATCCCACCAGCGGTTCAGGGAAGAACGACTTGTTTTCTGGGTGTCTTTCTTCGAGAATTTGATTCCTGCTGGTAGGAGGGGAGACAAGTCCACAACATCTACCAAGCATGGGTGTCTCTGTATGTGATTCTCTCATTTTCCACCGTGGGTATCTCTGTACCTTGGTCAGTTCCAGTACAGCGCTTTGTCTGGATTAGCCAATCAGCCTTGGTCCGCGCGGGCGTCCGTGCGCAGCGCGGACGCAAGTGCTGTGCCTGTCTTCAGCAGATTGCAGCGCAGCACTTGCGCCCTCTGCACGTTGGGCTCATTCACCACCAAGACTGCATCACCTGGGAGGGGCAGGGAGGACTTCCAATCACTACGAGTGGGGAAGAGGCTGAGTTGAGCATTGAAATGGAGTGTGTATATATATATATATATATAATGAGATGTAATGTGTCATGAGCAATGCATAATTTGAGCTTTTTGGGGTCTTGGTGGTTCAGATGCCGACAGACTCGATCGCTCTCGACAAGATGCTCTTGCTCGAGTCTCGTCCTGAACATGCGGAGCCCCTATGATCGGGAGACAGTTCCCACATCTGGTGGTGTAGCTATTGGTGTGGAACCTAGGCCTCCTCAAACCAACCAAAAAAACAAACATGTGTAGCTGTTGTTTACTGCAAGGCCGTGAAAGGCAATAGACAACATCAACATGTCGTAAACTGGTTGAAGTTGTTTCTGCTGAGCCGAGGTTTTGACACATACAACTTCAACTTCCGCCTGGAAACGTCAACGTGTCCATTCAATATCTCTACAGGGAGATCACCATGGTACTTTCAATACGTTCAGGCCAAAGGATTCGCTACTGCTACGGATTTCCTTCTGGAGAGCATCGTGCACTATCACCACCGACTTGATTGCTTGATACCTCGACCTACAACGTTGGATAGATTCTAGTATACTGTTGAAATGATAGGAATCCTCCGATAATATATAATGACAGGTCAGTTTGACCTCATTTTAGTCAAGTTGATTCATAGTGTGTTGCTTCCTCCATGAGCTTTGCAGGACCAAGTTTTGCAGGACCAAGTACTGGACATGTAGGGATCCGCGGACTCACCGGCCATGTTGGATGCCGACGATCCGCGTTTCAATACGTTTGCACCATCTTCTCATCAAGTTCCCGTCTTTGTTGGTCCACGCGCCGTGGCCATCACCATTGGCTCAAGTGACCGTGGTGGTTTGTGTGGGGGATTGCCCCAAAACGTTCTGAGGGGAAGTATTGTAATGGTTCAATGTTTGCATGACTCTCCATCGTGGCTCGTTACCCATCAAGTCACGATTGGAAAACCAGAATGGAATATGGCGCTGCGGACCCCATCCCGCACCAAAAGCAGACCATGCCTCCAAATCACTTCATGCCCCATTCTTTCCATACAGAATCTGCATGACCTCTGCCTTCTTGACGAAACCAGAGGCAGTTCCAGCAACCAAACACCCTTGTTGCCAGCTAGGCCCCCAGCAACACCCATGCACCAACGCGGCCAGGCACGGTGCAGCTTCAGCGCCAGTTGGGAGGCCTGTGAGGTGAGGGAGCTAAGAGCAATTCGTTGACGGTCTGCAGCAACTGCAGTGATTGGTTCACCAATCGCATTGACGAAACACTTCGCGGTCCATCTCCCCGGATCTTCGTCGCCCCCCAAGAGTCGGCCCAACTTGGACGGTGGGCGAGTCGCGAGTCGCACTCCAAAAGAACCAAACAGCGTCCTCCTCCCCACCGAAGGCCCACTCAAGTAGTCAACTTTGCGAGTCTGGCGCCCAAAATAACCCCAAACATGTGAGCCTTGGAGCCAGGAGCAGAGCACAAATCCAAGAATGCACCCGACAATGAAGGCATGAAGCTCTTCAATACCTGGCAAAAGAAACGCCATGGGTCGCGAGAACCGGTCAGAGCGGGTTTGAAGGGAACCGGTTTCCGCTGGTTTCCGCGTTCGCCAGTCGGGTAGAGAAGGAGACGGGAAAGCGAAGAAAACGTGTCCTGGTGGGGCCACGAAATCGGGTGGTGGTTTGCTTCCTTGTATATAGATAAGATAGGCTGTGGTAAATCCTTCTACACTCCCCAGAACATAAATATAGGATCCATGGAAGCTCTCTTGACTATGTTGTAGATGGGCTGTGGTCAAGAACATAGATCTATGGAAGCTCCCTTGACTTTCGGAAAGAAACAAACGGCATCCAGGCAGCCACGAGGTCCCTGGGAGTCGCAGCGGTTCCAGTTCGACTAAACCATACACCAAACGAATTCCTGGTTCCTTTTTGTAGAGTGGCTGCCTACGATCCACAGGGAGAGCTTTTCCTGATCCACCACGTTCCACTTTCATCAGCTGATTGGTGAGTCAGAGTGTCAGCTGATTTGGTCTTGCCTGGGCCCCAGTTCCAGGACACCAGTTCGGCCGCCTTTTCAGGGTTCCAGGACGGAGTTTGGCCGACAGCCTGCCTGGCCTAGCCGAACCAGTTCCATGTGCTACGCAACCGGAAGCAGTTCAGAACCACCAGAGGTGATCGACCCTGGTGGCAGTTCGGTGGCAGTTCGACCAGCCCACCAGCCCAGCACATGGGCAAATTCGACGTGCCAGAGCCATGTTGACCCCTTGACCCCTTCCCTACATGGTTGAGACCTAATTTGTAAGACACCCTTGTAATTAGACACCCTGCCCAGACTCAGAAAAGATTCCATTGAAATCTGGTATTGAAGAGATTGGACTAGGACCTAGTTCCTAAGCGCTAGAGTCCATACATTATCCAAACATCTTGGGCAAATAATTAATAGTATTATAGTTCTGCATGTCTTCCAACCTGGTTTGATGCACGCCTCCACGGGCAGCATCGAGGCCAAGCTCTGCACATAGACTTCTCCCGTGTACTGTTCCAGCCATTGCCCTGGCTCTTCTTCAGCCTGGCAAACACAAACAGAAATCGCAGAGGCGACGGAGGTTCCTTTTGTAGACACACCGATGTACCCTCTGAAAACCGCGGCCCCGATCGCAAACCTGAGGGTGAAGCATCCAGTCACTATACCACCATAGCTGGTAACCAGTGGTTTCTGAGATTGATGTAGTATACTACCATGCATAGACCGAAAAATACCCTTGGTTCCTTATACATGTTGTCAGCCTGGTAAGAGGATGAAGGGTGAGCTGTCACACACCACTTCGTTGTCAGCACAGCACCCTTAGAAGACTTATCATTATGACTTTCCTTTCAGCCTCAAGCCTAACTGCACAATGCATATCAACATGTTGTAAATGCATATCAAAAATGCGTATTTTCTGCATATTGGCCTCCCTAGGCAAATGCATATTACCTTGACACTTGTTTTTGCAAATATATGCATTTGTGCTCAAAAAAAATATGCAGAAAATATGCATTTTCTCTAGGAAAATGTATATTTTCTGTATTTTCAGCATATTGGCCTCCCCAGGAAAATACATATTTCCTTAACACCTGTTTTTACAAATATATGCATTTTTGGCCCCCCAAAGATATGCAGAAAATATGCATTTTCCCTAGGTAAAATAAGTCTTATCAGTGGAGACCCAGTCAAGAAGAGCACTCCATCGTTTCCCGCCAGGTCTGCACGTCTGGTTCTTCCCAACTCCCAAATAAAATTACAATTGAACATGACTAATATAATATCATATATTTTGGTATATAGCTTTTTTTCTGATTCTATAAAAGCCGGAAAAACAAGAGCCTCTTCCTTGAGTGGTGGAGCTGGAACACCGATCCGGCCCAACCGGTCCCGTGCCTCGATGAAACCGTCCGAGCACCAGGGCGTCGGCCGACCGCGCCGCCGCGTCAAGCGGGCCTCGTCCGGTGGTCCCGGGTGGTCCCGGGTCGTTACAGGATCCCCAAGGTGTTACGCTGGAACACCCCGTCGAAAGAAATGGTTCAATTGCTCCAAGATGGCCTGGCAGAAGAGATCCTTTTTGTTCACACAACAGGTGGTTGGGACTGTGGAAACAAGTGGTTGGGACAAGGAGTCTTCCGGTTGGGATATGCACGAAAGTCTTCACCGAGGATCAAAAGAGTTCTCCTTCCACTTCTTTTGTCAAAGCATCAGTGAGATCAACGCGCGACGTTGGGTGTGCCACCGCCGGTTCCACCACTCCCGCCTCTGGCACCTTCCGGGGGTTCGCGCGCCAGCTGCGCAGCGGCCGTCGTGCACAGGCGCGAAGGAAGCGCCGCAAGGACAAGGCGTAGAGGCCAAGCGAAACGGCCTGGCCAGGCGATGGGGCTGGGCAGTGCAGGCTAAGCCATGCCATCTCTATGAAAACACTGCCGAAACCATTCTTGCAGCCGAATCCCCACGCAAGAAGTATCATGCAAGAATCGAACAGCACATGCTCGACAGCCTGCGGAGGCATACAAACAAACTCTGTGTGATGATCAAAATGACTGAGTTGATTTCTTCAAACACAACAGGACCGTATTGCTAGCCTACTTCGCTCAAAGTTTCTTCAGGACCCAAGTGATGTGTTACCTTCAGGTTTCCTCTTCACCGTAGCAGGGAATGATGATGGCCAGTAGAGTGACCACATAATCTTGTAGCAATTTATGAAGCCAACCCGAAACCCTAACCCTCAAGCCCTGAAGGAGTTAGGGTTTCAGTCCCTCAAACGTCCCCTAAAGCTTCCTGTTTTCAACGCATCCATCTCCCGCCTCAGCCAAGAACTGTCGTGGCAGCTGCGGCCAGCGCCGCAGCACTTTCTCGCAGCGAAGCGGACCGCCCGCAGCCACCCGCAGCCGACAGTGCGGAACGCGGCGGCACCAGGCATGGGAAGCGAAGGGCTCGCCTGCCGGCGAGTAGATGCGGAAACCAGGGGGTGTTTTGTAGCGGGATGCAGGGGGTTGGATGCAGTGCAAATGCAAGTGCCGAGGTGCCAAAAACACGACGTGTCGGTCTGCAACATGTTTCGGAGGGTCATCTGTGTGTGTGTGTGTCAACCCCTGTTCCACAGGGAACTAACCTATCTATTGCGCCTATGGGCACATGGATGGCATGGGCCAACGAAGACCCACCCATGATGCCGTGAAAACGTACCTGCGTCAATTTTTCAAGAACTTTTGAATGCACTGTTGAAACATTCTGTTGATCTGACCCAGCACTTCTTTTCAGTCAAGGTCGAAATTGCAGTAACACTAAAGTGCTAATGCTCGCTCCGAATTTCTGAAACTCCGCTCTACGGAGCACTCTTCTCAAGTGTAATGCGCAGTTTCTTCCCACTGTGGTGAGCTGTGTGAACCCTACGGGGCGCCGTTACTGCATCGAGCCTGAATTTTCTTCTGAATTTCTCTGAATCTCTTATGCTCGAAGAGAGTGGATGATCATTGTCTCACACATTACACGTAAATTATACTGCAGAGTTCACTGTATAACTTTACTGGAGTCGTTTCACCCCAGGTGATGTATTAAACCGCCGATTCGGCTTCTCGGTCAGTGCCTATGGCCCGTGCCGTTCGCTCGCAAGAGCATCCACCCTACCCCGCACCCACTGCACCTTTGCTTATTGTTCCTTGCCTTTTTGTTTGTCTTGTTCCTTCCTTCAGGCTTTTTAGATATGATCCAGGCTCGTTTAGTCAACGCACGCCCTGCCCCCCCCGCACCCCCTGCACCTTTCTCTTCTTTCCTTGCCTTTTCGTTTGTCTTGTTCTTTTCTTCAGGCTGGTTAGGTGGCATCCAGGCTCGTTTAGTCAATGCACGCCCGAACACCCCTTCACCCCCTGGCGAAAAAGCAAAAGAAAAAGAAAAAGAAAAATGACTGAAAAGAAAAAGCAAAAAGAAGCGGTCAAGAATACTTAGCGCTGCAGCATGGCAGCCATTTGAAAAAGACAGCTTGCGTTGAGTTGTTCCTTGAATAGTACTAGATGCGCCGTTTCGGCTTCTTGTGTGTGTCAACCCCTGTTCCAAAGGGAACTATAGTGGGTTCCATAGTGTTGACATCTTCGGAGGGGTCCAGAAAATTGGGTTTCCCAGAGTCTTGACATGCACACAACGATCGATGCCTACGGTCTTGACCTTTGCCCCCCCGCCCCCCCAAAGAGACCAACCAAAATCCACTCACTGGTAGCCCTGTTGTCTTGACATGCAGTACTGCTTAGCATCTAAGACTGTATACTGTTACCTATGTAGTCTTGACACCACCGACACAAAGACACCAACGACGCAACGACCTAATCTGAATAGTCTTGACATACACATCCTCCCGATTGGTGTTCATTTTTCCTCGAAGCTGTACAAATAGTCACTTTGGGGTGTTTGGTACCATCTGGTACCAACGCACTGGCAAATCGCCTTTTGGCTGAGGTGGCAGCTCAAACATATGAAACACTACATATGGGCCACAGCAAAAGCATCAAACACAAGAAGGTGCATAGAGACTAGCAAAGATGTGGCCTTAGGTTTGTGCCACCTTGGAAGTGCTGTGTACTGTCAGGACTATAGGCTAGACTGCTACAGCACTACAGTGTCAAAGAAAACCATCGGAAAAAAGCGACAAACTAAATTTCCTTCACACCTATAGTCACTGAAGCGCCAAGCAAGTCGTATCACTCAAGCTCATCATCAGGCCGGCATGCAGGGGCTGGCAGTGGAGGTTCGTCCTCACAGTGGACAAAAACTCTTGCGCCAGTTGACAATTTTGGATTCTCTATACATTCTCTTGTTAACCCTGTTGTCATGACACTGTCCAAAAACGCGGATGTTGTTTATCCTCTCTCTATATTATATATATATATATATACAACATCCCCATTTGCTTGTGTACACGCTGTTGGCTTGAAACTGTCCTCCGGAGTGCCCTGTGCATGAGCTTGCGAAAAAGGTTCCTCCCCACAGATTGAGTTGGACAGATATCACTAAAGATGAAAAACAAAATAACTAACCGGACAAGAATGAAACCAACACCGGCTGTGGGTTAAACAGAAGTCTCCTATTTGGGACAGAAGAACATAATCTGAATTTTTGAACTCTTGCGCACGTTGACAAGTCAGCAATCCCAGAAACAGCTCTACTCGGTGTCAAGACTCTAGGCTAAAGCAACGTCTACGGGTATTCTCGGTGTTGGCCTCGACGGGAGTATTTCCTTGCAAGTTTGTAGCCTGCCAGTCAGGCAGAGGGGTTGCGCCAAGACAATGCAGTAAGCATAGCTTCATGGCTCACAATGCATTCAACATTGTCCTGTCATGTCAAACACTACAAGTATGCACATCAAATCCGGTCAGCATGCATTTGTTTTGTGCCACGCTTCTGCTGTATGTACACATACGCATAGGCATATATCCATGAATTGTTGCATGAATGCAATTCAATTCCTTCTCTCATTCATCATCCTGGAAGAACCGTGCAATCCGCTTGAAGTCCTCCAGCATTGCAAGCTGCTCAGACCGAATCTCAGCAAGAAGAGTCAGGGACTGTGTTCTCAATGGCAACAAGCGCCGGCGGTAGACTTCCCCTGATCTGCATTGACCCGCAAGTAGACTGGCCCTTTGGATCGAATCACTGGCTGTTTGAACAAGGTGTATGCATTGCTCGAAGGCAACCAAATTGTTCATAAGGTCTATCAAATCCGGGCTCTGGCCACCAACTGCCGGCCGGGCATTTGCTGGAGGACGGCTATTAGCTGGAATTCGGCTAGCCCTGCCACTGACTGGAGCTCTGCCTCCTCCTCCAGGACTACGAGACCGTGACCTGTCTGCCAAGGGTTCCATGGCGTGAAAGGCCACCTGCTCAAAAACTTTGCGACTGGTATATATATATATATATGCGCTTTTGAGCAGAAACTAGCAACAAGTCGGAACAAAAGGGTTCCACAGACTGCTTGAAGTTTTCCCGAAGAGTCTCCCCACAAACATGCCTTGAAGCCTGTTGTCTTGACATACGATACAAAAGATTTCTGGAAAGCTCCCAAAAGCGACAAATGCTCAGAAAAGCAATGGAAAGATATGTTGTTTTGTTTCGTTGCCTCTTCACCAGGCGGTTGATGTGGAGGTCCAGATTCCTCGGGTCAAACATGGTCAAACTTCAACCAAATGTGAACTGGCACCCCAACTGTCAAGTCTGTTGGTCACACAATGCTTCAACATGCAAAGGCACACCCTCTTACTGCCAAACACACAAGCGCAAAAGATGTCTGACTTGTGAAGAGCTAAGGCAGTCAGTCGTTTTAAAAATGATCCATGTTGTCGGATTCCTCTGAACAAAAACATGAGTCCACTCACATAGTGTGGACATGTAGCAGCATGCTGAGGCCAAGCACTTGTTCATCACCATGTCCTTCCTGCCAAACAGGAAAACACCACAGGAGTATTTCACAAGTAAGACCTCTGAAGGAACACATCGGGTGTCATGACTACGGCTTACCCACATGCAATATGGAAGATGGAAGATGCAAGCCCGCGTCTGCAGCACAGCCTTCGGGATCTCTTCTGACTCTTCTCGCACAGCTTCCCGCACAGATGGAGTCTTCAAAAAAAAGACATGGAAGCGATGAGCTGAGCATTTTCCTTCTTTTGTACTAGTAGAAGCATTTCACGAGTAAGAACTCTGAAGGAACATATCTCTTCTAGCGC